TTGTGTGTGCGCGCGCGCGTGCAGCTGGGAGCGGACGGCGTACCTGTTCAGCCAGCTGAGCTCGGAGCTGCTGCAGGACGGGATCAGCGTGGAGAGCATGTACGTGCTGCTGCAGGAGCTGAGAACTGCCGCCCACCACAGCATCACACTGCGCCGACTCTTCTGGAGGGTAGCGGCTTTACATTTCACACACACACGTCTGGGCTCGTGTTTCTGCATCTTATACCAGTTACTTTTGACTTTTGACATGGCCACAATGATTTGAAAGCTGTGGCACTAGTTACTTTACAGATTAAGCTTTTATATGGAGAGATTAAATCTGAAGTTCAGGAGTGGGACCTGGCTGACACACCTCTTCCCCCTCAGTAAAATAAATATCGCCCATTACTATCATCATTTGCTCCCGCTTATTGTAACTCACTCAGCCTTCCCTCCTTCCACTGTGGGTGCGTCGAGTTCAAGAACAGTGTGGGTTCCCAAAGCTTTCTCCAAACTGAAGTCACACGGGCATAACACTGACCAATCGTAATCCACTCGTCACCCTCATCCAGTACAGGTGGCACTTCAGTTAAAACTAAATAACTGGTTAAAAGTGGAGATAATCCGCATTAATAATAAAAAAAAGTTGCTCTCTAGTCTTGTTTGTGATTTTAACCCTTTCTATGATTGCGCTGATGTTTTGCAGGTATCAAGCGGGATCAGTTTGTTTCGGTCTCACCTGCTGAGGAGACACGGTGTGAGCAGCAGAGAGGAGAGGGAGGCCGAGCTGCATCTGTATGCCGTGTCACAGATGTCCAGACTTTTCCTACATCTGCAGAGCTCGTGGAACAGTTTCATGATTGTGAGTGATAATGGAGATGCACGCAAAGAAAAATCTGCCCCTAATTCTGACAGAATGATTTAATACTGAGGCTCTGTCTCTGTCTTTTTCCTCTTGCTACAAACGTCATGGAAAGACCAACATCTCTCTGAAATGCTCTACTACCAGTTCAGATAAAGCTCCTGAGTTCAGCTCTCCTGGTCTTTAACACTCTCTGTGTTTTTAATAGCGTTGTTGTGAGGCAGTGTGCCTCTCAACATGCATCTAAATACACCAGTTCACAAAACGCAAGTAAATCTCCTAACTGTAGGATGAAGACTTGGTTTAAGGTTGGAATAGTTTAAAGTTTAACTTTGGGCAGGTTGTGGTCAGAGTAAGGTCCTGGAAATGAATGTAAGTCAATGAAATGTCAACATGACTGTGTGTGTGTGTGTGTTTGTTCAGAGGTCCACTTTGTTGTTAGACCCGCTCTACAGAAGCAGATGCAGTTCTTCATCCGACTCCTCCCCTGGGAAGCAGCGTCCTGCCATCAGGTACCAGACTCCGCTGTGTAGACGTGTGAAGGGAAAATGGTAGCGTGACAACTGATTTGACTTTCTCCTTTAGTGAATATCAGTGAAATAAATCACTGAAGTATATGTTGCTGTGGCTCCATGATGGCTCTACAGTGACTGAACCATTGTTAATGAAGTACTAAATGATAAACTATTTAAAGCCACACCCCCTGGTGGCAAACATCGTGAGCTGGCGTTAAGGTGGACCGTCTCACACAGCTCCACCCACAAATGATGAATCATAATTTTGTCCCAAGGTAAAATCAGTATTTGGAGATTTTAACAACGATATGTTTTTTAGGCGTTACTTGTTGTTTATAT